TGTCCCTGCCACGCTCCACCTTGTCCTTCCACATCTCTGTTTCTACAGCTCACAACTGCGTGACAGACGTGGACGTCTGTGACAGCACACAGTGCTAGCACGTACCTGTTTCAAAAATTCTTCCAGAGCCATCTCCCCTTGGGCCACAAGCAGTACGTCCTTGACGACAGCTTCATTCTTCTGCAAGTCGACATCCCAGATCTGGCCGAGCGTGAGCTCAGAGACCACCCAGTTGACGTGCAGCCTCTTCATCAGCTGCTTCCAGTGGCGGTCTTTGAGGGCCTCCGACTTCAGCTCGATCACCAGCATGTTAACCTGGGAGGGCACACCGTCAGCCACACGGCTGTTCCTGCAGGGCACCCCCAGCGCACCACGCCGCGCCACCCACCTTCATGTAGCCCTTCAGCAGCCTCTGCACGAACTCGTAGGACGCGTACTGCCGCAACCGTGCGGGGAAGTTCTTCAGCTGGTTCAACAGGCCATCTAGATTTTGCCGAAGCTATCAAAAGAAATACAAGATGCTACCCAGCTGGCCAAAATTCCTTCAAACACTGAAATAGTTTTCAAAAACGGTTCCATAAATGTTAAACTGTTCTGGATGGGTAGCTAAGTGACATAGGACACTGTGACATTATGTGAACTCACAATAACGTTCCTTAAATGTAAAGTTCCCAAATGAGTCTACAGCTATTAACTAAGACATAAAATTATACACCAAAAATAAACAAACCAGCCTCACTGGTATTGAGTTGATTTCAACTCATAGCAACCCCCACTGGGTTTCTAAGGCTGTACATCTCTTTACGGAAACAGAATGCCTCATCCTTCTTCAATGGAACAGCTACTGGGTTTGAACCACTGACCTTTTGTTTGGCAGCCAAATGCCTTAATCACTGCACAACCAGAGCTCCTAAAATTACACACAGATGCATTTGAATTAAACATACCTTTCGAGGCTGCACTGAAACCCAGGGCTGCTCCTTCATCTGATCGATTTGCTCCCAGACCTTAGAAAGTTCTGACCACACGCCTTTGAGGTCCTGGAGTTCTTCCAAGGCCACCTGGAGAGAAGTGCAAAGCAGCTCTATTTTGGAACAAGAAATCACCTCAGAGTCTGCAAGAGACACTGGGAGACCGGGCAGGCCAATGGCGGCCTGGGAGGAAAGCCCGCTCCCACCTGCACACGCTCCTCGCTGCCACTGAGGAGCCCCGTGTCCGTCAGCTCCAGCGCCTCCTTGGCCTTGGCACACTTCTCTCTGTCGTCCTTCAGCCTGCCAAACTTCCCTTCATAGATGGTAAGAGCCTGGAGCGCCTCCTCCGGGCGCAGGTTGCCCTGAAAGATGTCACAGCAGGAAGTTGCAGGGCAAGGTCTCAGGAGAGATGGACACACTGGCTTTAAAACAGCAGCGGGAGCTGGCCATTCCCTGAACACACCTACACGTGGGATAGCTCAACGGGCTGCACACCCGGGCCTTCTGCACTTACTCAAAGTGTGAAGGCACGATAAAGGGAGGTGGGCACCTCTCCATTCCAGGTGTCCTGGTGCTACATGCCTTGGGAGATGGGAGGGAAGAACTGGGACAGACCTGAGCCTGGGGGGCACGTGCCCTTGAAGAGGGCCCCCAGCCACACTGGCCCGACGCACACAAGTCGCCCAAGAAAAGCACAGGAATCGAAGCCCTGCTTTCACCCGTCACGGCCCCTCCTCCAGTGGTAACCCTGGGATTTATGGATGTCCTCCTTGTTTTAGTAACTTTTGAGAGTCATGATATAAAAACAGCATTCTACCAAAGTCAAACAGCCACGACCACTCAAACGTGTTACTAACGGCAAGGTTAGGCGCAGGGAGAGCCTCAAATTGTGGTGACCGGACTCTTCCTCCTGCTGGAGCCACCCCAGTACCCTAGCAGTACTGGCAATCCTTCCTCAGACGGGCCACAAGTACCACAGCGACCACCACAGCGAACCTGAGAGGGCTCAGTAGTGCAGTCACCGTCAGGACGGGACAGAGCACCAGCCAGTTGCTGGGGAACCACATCTGCCTCAGGTCTGCTGCGGAAAACTCCACCAGCCCCTTCCCTTCCTCTCCAGCCACGGTTCCACGTGGATCGGGATACCCACCCCGGACACCAAACCCGCCGTCACCCCCTTGCTCGAGTCTCGCACTTGCTGTGCCCTACCTGCCTCCACCCCAAACCCCAACTGTGAGCGTGACCTGCCCGCTTCCCTCCCGCAGGTTTCCAACGTCACCTTCCCAGACACAGCACACTCACACCCCTCACCTTTCCCACCCACTTCTGTCTGGGGCACCATCACCCTGGACCCATCTGCCCTGTTCATCTACACTCATGGGTCCCACCCTGCTGCAGCGTGAGTCCAGGGCCAGAGAGCGCTTGTCTGTTCTGGTCACTGCTGAATCCCCACTACCCAGAGCCATGCCTGAACACAGCAGGCACTCAAAACATACTCGGGTGAGTGAAGAGTACTGGGCGTGGTGGGTTCCGGGCTAGGGAAAGTCTGGCAGTCCCAGCAGCAGAACCTGCCTCCCAGGACGCAGCAGCAGTGGGAGGCTTGGTCTGTGTCAGTGTCAGTGAGGAAGTCCATTCTCCTTTCTGAGTAAGCCCATTTGAAAGGGTAACTCCAGAACCCATGCCCCTTGCCTCTGGCTCATGTGATCCTACAGGACAGAGCAGAGCTGCCCCACAGAGCTTCCAAGACTGTAACCTTTACAGGGGCAGACTGCCACATCTCTCTCCCACCCAGTGGGTGGCGGGTCCAAACACCAACCTTCCGGTTAGCCATTGAGCTCTAAACCACTGTTCCACCCGGGGCCCTTAGTTTAAGAACAAAAGCCTTTAATGTGTGAAACAATTTCCTGACTTGTGTGGTTGCCCGTGGAGCTGTAAGTAAGAAGAGGCTAAGCTTCCCAGCTTCTGTATGTCTACACGGACTACCCGCAGCACTAAACAGGTTTTAATTACAAAAAGGAAAAAGGCTGCCACTGCTGGGAAGTTACGCCACACCAGAAACTCCTC